GAAAGTCGTATAAGGGGGGAGTGATTTTCAACAAAGGGGGCCCCAATTTTTTATTTATTTTGTAATAGGGTTAATTATATTTTAGTCCCTGGATACTTTAGGGTATTTACAAGATTAGTCATTAAACTTCAGCTATAAATACTCTAGCCCATTTAGCTTCAAAATCATCCCAAATCATTTCTTTCTCCCAATACTAGAGAGTTTTCTTGTGAGTAGTAAGTGTTTTGTAAACACCTGTAAATTTTCTCTCTTAGTTATTTATGAATTTACGATATTTATTATAGTGACTTGAAATTTATCACGTCGAAATGATGAGTTTTAATAAAATATATTTTTATTCAAAATTTTTATTCCGATATGATAAATTCTAATAAAAATTTATATTTGATTGGAGTCGTCACGTTAATGTGACAAGTTTAAATAAAAATATTATTTTAGAAAGTATCGACATCGTTTTTCGCCCAGGCAGGGAAAAGACCGATACCGACTCGAGGGTTTTCTCTTTGAAAAGAAATTTCGAAATGTAAGGAGTCACCACCAATCATTTAAGGTGCGATTGGAACACCATGAAAACCTGGTGATTTTAATAAAATATTTTTTTATCAGAATACTGAGTTTTAAGGTCTGCGAAAATCCAGAAATCGGGTTCGGGAATCAGTTACGTGTGGAGAAGGTTTAGCACCCCACAAGCGCCTAAAAATTAGTACATAGTTGATTACCCTATATTTAAAATTAGAAAATTTTGAGTTCGATCTTTATTAAATTTAAAAATCATTATGGATGCAAAAAGTTAAAAAAGGTATTCGTTTATTAAGGTCGATAGCATTCGTCTCCTAGCATAAACGCAGGAGATCGACTATTGTGCCTAATAACCGAACGTCGCCTTAATTTTAAAAATCATGATTTGATCTTTAAAAAGGAAGTCGACCTATTTCAAGAATCACATGTATCACCACATGTATCACCTGAGCATACTTACGAGAGATATATCATTAATTCCCTAATACGTAAATGATTAAACAAAAAAAAGCTTATAAATACATACATCACTTCCTTCTATATTTGGTTATCTTTACAAAGAAGAAAAGAAATACTCCAAGGTGTTCTATTACAAATACAATAGAAATTCAAGTTATATTAAGTAATAAATAATCTAAACAAAAATAAAAAAATAAAAAAATAAAAGAAATAAAGTTTGTCATCCAATCCATTTCCTTTTAGGGAGATTAAACGTAATCACCACCGTTCATCATGACCTGAGTGATGAGGTCCACATTAAGTAGTAACCGTCTCTTGTTTAGTTCGTCTGTTACCGTGTATATATATATAGAGAGAGAGAGATCGTCAAAAGTCGTCTTAATGGGGAAAAGTTGCAATTAAGCTGCTAAAAAGACAAAAATCAACAAGGTAAGTTTGCTCTTTGGATATAGTTTTTCATTTTTGACTTCCTTTGGCAGCTTGTTGGTGAAATTTGATTTGATGTTTCAAATAGAAATTTTTACCCGATTGCTTATTATTTTTGGGTAAATTTCAGTTTTTGGAAATATGGGTTTGTTTATTTATTTATAATCCAAAGTGCCCTTCTTCTCCTCCAAACCCACCATTGCCTCTCTCTGATTTCTCAGGTCAAGCTCTTACTTTCTGTAAAGGAATGATTTTTTTTAATGATTTGAGAATTGGATAATATGAGTAGTTTGGTCTTAACAAATTGCATTATTCTTTTGGCTTCTGGTAGTTTTTACCTGATAACTTAATGAGTGTAGCTTAGATGTTTTGCTTGATTTCGGTTTCTTTATCATTTATGCTTAAGGGTATGTTTGCCTGCCAAGAATTGGGGAGGAAGGAATAAGAACATAAACTGGGTAGGATTTATATGATGTTTGATTTGGCGTAAATATGATGAAAAATAGGGCATTTATGTATGTATGTATGTATGTTTTATTCAATCTTCCCTGCTATCTTGTTAATGGTTTAGAATCTACCTTTCTCCTTCAGTTATGTGAAGAACAGGTTAGAGCATTGGTGGCTCAGTCAGAATGGATTCTTGCAACTGCATTGAGCCACAATGGCCACCAGATGACCTCTTAATGAAATATTCATATATTTCCGACTTCTTTATCGCTCTTGCTTATTTCTTGATCCATATATATACGTTTGTTTATATATATATACGTTTGTTTATATATATATACTTTTGTTTTCCTTAACACTATTTTCTTTTTGGCTCATTATTATGTTTTTAACTTAATTTCGTTATATCATGCCTTGAATTGTGGACTCGTATTGAGTTTTGGGACTGATTGGTTGCATACATATATATTGTTTTTTTTTGCAGGTTTTACCTTTATCCCACTACTTACCATATCTCATAAACGACATCGATCATTTTCCTCTCGTGCTAATCTGCCTCCTAACCCTCCGCCAAATCCTAATCTCAATCAAAATGAAATGACCATTGTGAATTCGTGTTTTAATGAACCAAATCGTCATAACCTCTATTCACGATATCTTAATCATTTCGAATTTTATGCCCTTAGGGGTGAGCGTCTCCCTTCCGTTCCGGCAATGAACGCCATCAATTTTAAATACCTTCCACGTTTCAAAGCTTGGAAATTTGATAACACGTTCAAAGTCAAACCTGTCGTTTATCATCAACTCGTCCGCATTTTCTATTCCAATGCGGTTTGTGTCCAAAACGAAGCTCGTACTCATATAGAAAGTATTCACTCCTATCTCTTGGGGGAATACATTACTCTTGACTCCGACTCCATCGCCTGTGCTTTTGGCCTTGAAAACACCGGGATTGGTAATGAGCGAGACACTGTCCCTTCCACCTTAGCAGTAGGGCAGAGCGCTAGCGTCTTTGATTTTCATGAGAGATTCCTTCACTTGATCATCTCTTGGTGGTTTCGACCATCCGGAGGAAGATATTCCTCTCTCCGTAGCAATGACATTTTGGTGGATTCATTGTTTTTAAGAAAATAAAAGAATTAACCTTGCTCAAATCATCTTCAATGAACTAGTGGACATCGTTAACCATATTCCTTCTAAGAGGGTTGAATCTCTAGTTTATGGTTGTCTTCTTAGTAATTTCTTTATAAAAGCTGGTCTTAGAGTCGATCTTGATGTTGCTATCCCCTTGGGTACCAATATTGATCTCACCTCTCTTCGTAAGTCGGGATGGACTAAAGTTGGAGACAATTGGGAAAGGAAAGCAAAAGAGGCGCCTGATGCAAGTTCATCTCGAGCGGCTCCGGCTCCAATTCCACCTCAAGATGATGATGTTATACATGACGTTGATGATCCAGTCGTTCCTGACGAGCCTCCTAGCACTAGTGGTGAGATGCCTCATTACCTTCAGTCCATGATGACGATTTTGGACTTGAGGTTTGTCTCTATAGAGTCCCACTTTACTGCTTTGGGGACTCAGGTGTCCGAGATCGCTTCTCAACAGTTGGTGTTGCAAGCGATGCATATGGATTCCCGACGAGACATCCTCGCTCGATTCGACATGGTGACAGATAGGCTCAACTCTCTCTCTCGAAACCTTGCTTCTTTCCGCGCACCTCCTTCGGATCCTGATCCTCCGTCAGATGCATGATGATATTGCTTTGCTATTTGCTTTTTTGTTGGTGTTGCAATGTCATACTTTGAACTTACAATTTCGTGTGATTTGCTTAGACTTTGATATTTTGGATTTGGTATTTCTTTTATGTTTTGGATTATTTGATATATTATTCCGCGTGTCTTCAGCCATGTTTCCTTTTATTGTGACCATGCCCGCTGCATATGTATATTAATTATGTTGACTAACTTGTTTGGCCCTTTTGATCTTCAAAGCTTTGTTATTTATCTTGTTTATTTCGAAACTTGTCTTTTTGATTTAGCAAAAAGATGGAGAAATGTTAGAGTTAGGGAGAGTATTTTTTCAAGAAAATCTTAAAATTCTAAAATGTTTTGTTATATAAAAAAGGAGGAAATTGTTGAAAACACTTTGATATTTCGATATACCAAAAATTGTTAAATAGTTTGTTACAAATTTTAAGATTATATTCGATTCAATCATTCGAACATGTAAATTATACTTTAAATTTAAAAGGTCAATACTACTCATCACTCTACTGAAAAATTGAGTCTTATATTGGAAATATTTTTGAAATAATTTTTACTAAGGGTTTCGAACTTCAATCGAGTCAAAAATGATTTTTAAGCGTAGTAGTACCGATACTACTAGAACAGTATCGATACTGTTCAATAAATATCGATACAAATATCGATGCCAAAGCCCAAAATGATGCAGTAGTACTGATATTGCTAAGGCAGTACCGATACTATCAAAATAGAATATTAAAATGGTACCGATAATATATACAATAATGATACTACTTAATATAGTAATACCGATACTCTTAGTGGTGGTACCGATACTACCTTTTTGATTTTGAATCCATCAAAATTTCAGTATACTAAAATGGTATCGATACTATGTACAGTATCGATACTATTAAATATAGTAGTGACGATATCATTTTGACAGTATTGATACTAGAGTTTCCAAACAGTTAAATTTTTGTATTTAATGTAGAGAGTATAGATATTGAGAGATCGAGTACCGATACTACAAGCTTATAGACATCATTTAATGCGGGAAACTACCTCGCAACGACTCTATTCACTCCCCCAACGACTATATTCGCTCACACAACAACTCAAACGGTTGGAATTGAATGGAAAAGTATAAAAATAAGATCTCAAATCATTGTGAAGATAAGAGACAAAAGATAAAGCCAAAAACAACAAATTTGAGCCAAATTAAGTCAACATTTTTTCAATATTCCTTTTGGTTTCAAAGAATTTTTCTTGTGCTCATTTGTATTCATTTCTCAAGTGTTTTGATTTATTCTTGAATTGTGCAAACACATTCCTAGCGAGAATTTTATAAGCGAATTTTATAAGCTTGTAATTTGTAATTTTCTCTTTGAGAGATTGTCTCAAAATTTTGGGGTATAATTCTTGAGGGAGTTGTAAGGTTACACCTTATCCTCAAAGGTATATACAAATTAGTGAATTGTGGAAATACTTAGTGTGGATAGCGAAGATAGTGGATGTAGACTTTGGTTGATAAAGTCGAATCACTCTAAATTATTGTTTTCATTGTTTACATTCTGTCAAGCTTCCACCAAAATTTTTAATTACCAATTCACCCTCCTCTTGGCTATTTCATCCATTCGATTGACTCAACACGAACGAACATGAACAAGATTTTATATTCGCTTAATTAATTGAACGAACATGAACGAAGGTCTCTTTCGTTTATTTACGTTCGTGAACGTTCGGTAATTTGTTCATTTGTGTTCGTTCATTTATTTCCGTTTATGTTTGTTCGTTTATGTATGTTTATGTTTGTTCGTTTATGTATGTTTATGTTCGTGCATGTTCGTTCATTTATATTCAACCCAATCTCCATACCCATTTAAAATATTAAGATCCAATCATTAATATTTTAAAACCCAAGTAATTTTAAACTCAGATCAATTAAAGAAAATATAAATCATACCCATTTAAAATCCAAATAATTTTAGCTCTGAAGTTGTATGTTTTATTAATGAATAATGAGTTTTATGTGGTTATTGTTGTTGTTTTTTACATTTGTTTACGCTCATTTATTATGTCCGATGCAAGTTCGTTTATGTTCGTTGATGTTCATTTATTTGCATTTATTGTGTTTGTTTATGTTCGTTTACGTTCGTTCGTTTATTTTCGTTTACTATTTAAATAAACGAACATGAACAAGCTACATTCTTTAATAAACAAACACGAACAAGAAATTTTGTGTTCGTTTATTTGTTTAAAGTTAAACGAACGAACATGAACACCCATTAGTGTTCAAAGCCATTGCGTCTGTTAAAAAGCCTCACGTTTCATTAAATCTTGCTCCTGACTTACCTGAATATGCCGTTGGAGACGAAAAGTGCCTGATGCAAACGATTTTAGACATTGTTGGTAATGCTGTGAAGTTTTCAAAGGACGGAAGCATTTCGATCATGGCTTTTGTTGAAAAAGCAGAGTTACCAAGAGATTCTTGAACCCCTGAATTTTTCCCAATGCCTAGCGATAATCACTTTTATTTGCGAGTACAGGTTAGTTCCGTTGGTGTCATTTGTAATTGTTGTTTGTATCTTAGAGGTCGATGATGTTTACGCTTCTTGGCATCTGGTGTAGGTGAAAGATTCAGGCATTGGAATTAGCCCTAGGGATGGGCATGAGTCGGTTTTTTGGTCCACCTGATCCGACCCGAGAGCAAGAGAGCCTCTACCCGAGACCTAACTCGACCCGATCAAAACAAAATTTCACCCGATCCGACCTGAATATATGACATAGAAATCCGACCCGATCCGAAATAATAATAAAAATATATTTTTATTTAATAAAAATAGTGACTTAATTGAAAAAATTATATATAAATGGGTATTATTGTAAAATGGTTGACCCTTGTTCCCATATGTAATGAGGTAAGAGGGAGGTAAGATAGTAGACTGACCCCCAACACCAGATTGAGAGCAGCTTCCGTAGGAGATATCCGAATTATGAAATGTCCTCCGTGGGACTCGATCCCACGACCTCAAGGTTAAGAACCTTGTGCTCTACCAACTGAGCTGGATGGTCAATTATTCCTAAATATATAAGGTAAAATTATATATTTTTTCTATGTCAGGTCGGGTCGGATATTTTTTTCACCCTAAACCCGAATCCGACCCGAACCCGAATTTTTTTATAGAAAAACTCGACCCGATCGAACCAGTTTCATTTGAACTTCCAACCCAAAGAGAAATATTATATTGCAACCACTAAGAAATGTTAGAAGTCAATGAACTTAGAAATTGATTAAAATAATGTTTATAATTTAGAGGAGAAGAAAAAAAAAACAATTAATCGGAGAATTTCAGTTTTGAAATTTGGATTTTGAAGATAATGTAAATTGAGTAAAATTTATTTAGAAATATAATACTCATATAACTATTTTTTAAAAGTTTAAATGTATATTTTGTTTTTAAATTTAAATTAAATAATTTTGTTTCTGAATTTTTTTTGTATCAATTTTGCTTTCAGTTTTATTAATTCTATCTTTTGATCTTTAATGACTAACGAGACCATTCATTTTTATCCATGTGACCGTAACATTACGCGTTATTGCCACATGTTATTACTAGATAGACGTTAACGTATAACTTCCGTTAACGTGACAATATTATTGACATGGAAACTAATAAATTATTAATATTATAATTGATGCATCAACCAAGTTATCATAGTGGTTAAAAGAATAGTTATTATAATTAGAGGTTTTTAGGTTCGAGCATCAGCCTCCATAAATAGAGATGTTCGAATAATAAATTATCTTATAATCACTTTAGTTTAATAAAAAATATGTTAAGTTTTTAACGGTGGATAATAAAATACAATAAAAACTAAATTTAAAATATGATTTTGAAAAAAAATATTAAAATCAAAATGAATCAAAATCAATAATTTAAGTACTAAATATACAATTTACATAAAAATTAATATATCAATATAATAAAAATATACTTCATCATAAAAATAAAAGTAAAAAAAAAAAGTAAATATTTTTTTAGTTAAGAATCCAAAGGACAGTTGGGCCTCTTCCAGTTGGCTTGCTTTTGTACTTAACGTTCACTTTTAAGCTCTGAATCTTTGACAAAAAATGCCTACTTTTTTCAATTTCATGGCTAAGAAAAGCTCGAAAGATCCCATTGACGACCCACCCACTGCTTCATCTTCCTCTTCGTCTTCCTCAGAGGATACTTCAACCCAAACCCCACAATCCCAGAAAAACTCTACTCTCAATGTCAAGCCAGTCGCCACAAAACCCATGGAAGGAACCTCAAAGGCCAAAAAACCCAGATCCAAACCCTCATCGTCTCCCGTTAAGCCTGCCTCAATGAAACGACCCAGCGTGTCCGAGCAAGAACAAACGAAGGAATTGAAGCGGTCCAGGAAGAAAGCCGGCGAAGAAGGGTCCGGTTCTGTCGATGCTGTTGAGGAAGAGGAGGAGAATAAGACCGGAGAAGACGAAAAGAAGCAGCTTTTCCAACGACTGTTCAGCGACGACGACGAAATCGCCGTGCTGAAAGGTCTGTTAGATTTCCTGGCCACAAAAGGGGTTGACCCTTTTGCTGATACGAACGCCTTCCATGATTTTGTCAAGGGGTCGATCCATGCCGATGTTTCGAAAGCTCAGTTGATGTATAAGGTGAGGAGGTTGAGGAAGAAGTTAGAGAACAATGCTAGGAGGAGTAAGGACGGTGAGGATCGGACGTTTTCTAAGCCCCATGAACAGAAAAGCTTTGAATTGTCCAAAAGGATATGGGGTAAAGAAGGGATCATTAGAAAAATCGATACTTCAGCTGCAAAACCAAAGGGGAACGGCAAGGCATTGGATGCATTGAAAGCAGAGCCGGTTGCTTCAGCTGACGAGAAAGTGGATGATGGGGAGCCAATGGAGGTCGATATCAAGTGGCCCAAGAGTTCCGGTAGCTTGTTTGACAAGAAATCCGGTGTCGGTAGCTTGGAAGATGAAGTTTTGAAGCAAGGATTGGATATGGTTGGGGAAGAAAAGAGAGCATCTTTGAAGGAGAAATGGAGGAGATTGCAGATTGCTGAGTTGGAGCTGTTTTTGGAGAGGAATGAGTTGGTAATGGAACAGGCCAAATGGATGCTGGAATTTTATAAGTCTCAAGAAGCATAGTTGCAGCGCCTTTTCGGTTCATTGTCCTGCATTTATCACTATTGTGGGCAAATGGTCGCAATCGTGGTCACAGCGGGTATCGTGATTGTACAATAACGGTTTTGGATGCCGATAGAGAGCTGCTATTTTAATCACTGATAGGTTGTGGTCATTTGGTGTAGGATATGATTTGTGTTCATTGCTCAACAAGTTTCAAATTGTCTTTAGGTTTGCTTTAACATTGCAGTATCTGTATGAGTTTGCTGCTTTAATCTTAAGTCTTCAATCTGATGCTTGTATTTGCTCTATCTTAATCTTTAGTTTCAATTTCTCATGATATAATTGTCCCGACCCGTATTCGGATACGTATAATCATCAAAATATACCCAAAAAGAACTCTGCAACATAAGTGAAACTTGGCCAAATTTAGAAGAAATGCCCCTTAAATACCATATGTCCCCATACCCAATTAATAACACTACAACATAGTAAAGATCATCCTTAGTGGTTTTAGATTTTACAGTACTTTTGCAGGAACAATACTACCTACTGAGCATGAGATATGGCAGCCAGACCTGATGCAACGTTCGGAACGCATGACCGACAAAAACCGGAATGGTGAGCAACCATTTCAGAATGATTATAGGCGCTGCCGTTACAAAATACGATATTCGAAAGTGCTTCGGAGATGCAGAGTTTTATTTCTGGCTCTTCTTTTTCCATAAGTCCCCGAACATTTTAATCCCAGATCCTTTGCGCTTTCCAGTTCCGAAACCATCGTCCGTATCGTCACCTAAGCCTGGTGATCCAACATAACCTGCAAAAGCACCACCAGCTGGAGTCTCGAATACTCCACCAAAATGCTTATCCATTGAGCTAAATCGGTTCGAAATCCTCCCGTTCATTTCCTTGCCCCCGGAAAGAATAGCTGCTGCGGCATCGGCTGCTTTTCTCCACTGTTCAGTCTGTACCCTTAGCTTCTTCATCTCGGCTTCCAATGCTTCCTTTTGCTCTTCCACTGATTGGAGCTTTTCCTTCAATTGAGCTGCTTCTGTTTTACTTGCTGCCAGTTCCCCCCCTACTCGGCCCAACTTCAAAGTCATTTCTTCTTCCTTAGCTTTAGCACTCGAAATGTTCAAGGTCGCTTCATCGAGCAGCTTCTTCAGGTCCTCATTTTCTCGAGTAAACACACTATGCTCCTTTTCTTTCACTTCTAGCTTGGATTTCAACATACTTATCTCATCATTTTTCAAAGCCAATTCATGCAAAGAAGGTTTCTCTGGCTCGGATTCTTCCGGTGGTGCAGTAGATATATCTATTGCTTTGGTTTTTTCATCAGCTTGATCGACTTCCACCTTAGGATCAATTGCTGCTTTTTCCACCGGGACTTCGAAAACATCAGTTTCTCGTTGATTGTCTTCAGAAACCTCGTCTCTGACGCTGCAGTAGGATTTCTTAGAATCTCGAGTCTTCTTCGGAGAAATCTTTTCATTAGGCTCAATACGAGAGCTTTAGGCTTCTTGGTCTTATTTTCCAGCTCTTCTTGTGCTTCTTTCTTTGCAGCTTCCGCTGAAGCCAACTGGTCTTTCAGATTCTTCAGCTCTTCTTGTGCCTGCCCCAGTTGAGACTCCAAATCCGCAATGCGAGTGCCGAGCTTCCTCTGGTTCAATGGATCCGACTGGGGAGCACCTCTAGGCGAACGACGATCACCAACCTTGGGACTACTCCGATCAGTGATCGGTCGATGATGCAAAGGGTCGGAATCGGAACTCGACGACCTAACCTGATGTGTGCCTCGAGGAGACTGCCTTTGTGGCATTTCTGAGCTCGTAATCCTCATTAACAGAAATTACATATAAATCAGAAGAGCAAATAAGCATGTAACACGAACCAACATTATCCTACTAACAAACATGAACATGAACATGAACAAGAACAAGAACAAGCACAACATTCATTAGTTCAAGGCAGATTAGATTAGATTCTCACCTTGATCTTGGCATTTTTGTCCCTTGAAATTCAAAGAGTTTATGCTTGAAAACGAACCGCAGAGCTTGTAATCTTCTGCAGATTTTTTTTAAAGAGAAGAGAGTAGAAAGTCCTGCTGATGGCCAAAACAAACCACATATAATCAAAGCACCATCAAACAAGAAACATATCCACTAAAAATGCAAACAGAAGTTCCAAAAATAGTTCACTTTCCCTATATCCTATGCCTTTGATTCATTGTATATTTCTTTGCTGGTTTCCATGCCCTTTCTGGGGCAGTGCAAAAGCCATTTTTTCCCACAGTGGACAATTTATTAACCATGAACAATGTAAAAAACACATTAGAAAATATAAAATTTCCAAGGGTATTTTTGCAATTCAAGGTGATGTATGTATGATCAAAGATGTATGTATGATCAAAGGGAGGCCAGGGATGCATGCATGCTTTGAATTTGCCTCATGTCAGGATTCCTGAGTCAAAAAACATTGTCACGCGCCACCGTGAGCGTGGTGGTGAGTGAGATGAGGCAAATGCAAATGTTTTTGGCTTATTATGCAGACCATCGGACAAGGTTCTTAGTCTGCAAATTAGAAGGATTTGAAAACATATCAAATTCCAAAGAATTAATTCAGACATATCATATTAAAAAAAACCCAGTTTGAGAAACAGCATTTCTTGATCAAAATAACAACAAAAAAAGGAATAAACTTCAAAGCATTTTACAGCAGAAGCCAGCAATTGTTAGCTAAAAGAACCAACTTTTTGGATCAGATCTTTACATATATATATGGAGCTCCAAGTTGAAGTTGAACCCAGTTTTTACAAGCTATTTTCATGTAAGCATAGCAAAGAAAACAATGCATGGTCCATAACTGGATCCAAAATCGAAACTTTACTGCTTTTTTTCCTGGAGAGAAGAAAGCTAGCTTACCTTAAAGAATAAATGAAGAAACTTTAAGCCATGAGAGACCTGAGGAAGCTTTTAGTACTGAAATGCAAATCAATGGAGAAAGGAAAATGTCTTAAAAAATTTGTTTGAAGCAGAGAAAGAGAAGAGCATGGAGAGAAAGAAGGGTTCAAAAGTTTGAATAAAAGCTGCAAATGTGAAAGTGGCATATACTCCATTAATATCACTAGAGAGCTGAGGAAGCTTTTAGTACTGAAATGCAAATCAATGGAGAAAGGAAAATGTCTTAAAAAATTTGTTTGAAGCAATGAAGCAGAGAAAGAGTAGAGCATGGAGAGAGAAAGGTTCAAAAGTTTGAATAAAAGCTGCAAATGGGAAAGTGGCATATACCCCATTAATATCACTCACAAATAACAATAAATACATAAAAAAATTATCTAAAATTAATTAATCTATATAATTTGATGAGTTTGAATTTGAATGCTAAAGCTATAATTTCTTGTATTATTGTCGGATTATGATTGTTTTTTTTTATTAAAAGAAAGGGTAAAGTACACGAATAGTCTCCAAATTTTTAGATCATTTATACTTTAGTCACCAAACTTTTAAATATTATAATAAAATCATCAAATTTTTAATTCATTTTTATTTTGATTCCTACCATTACATCCGTTGATTTTTGTTGACATGACATTTAACCCGTTAATTTTCTGACATGGCAGTAGCTTCTTCTTCTCCTTCCTTTTTCTTTCTTTCTTCTTCTCACACACTTTCTTCAACCGCTAACATCACTAGAACTCTACAGTCTACCCTTGGAGCAGGATTTTAAAAAATGGTTCGTGATCGCGATTTCGACCGTGATATAGTGGTTTTGTCGTCTTCCGAGTTACTCGCAACGGCCGCAATAGCGTTCATGACGGTCGTAATAACGCCCGCGACGGTCGCAATCACGGTAAATTCGAAATAACTGAAAACGCGATCGTGACCGCGATTTGAAACCCTACCTTGGAGCATAGAGAATACTATAGAACATAAAGGAACATACAGATTTGATCAAAAAGATATTGCAACCTATAAGATTAATTAGCTAAACATGCAACCAAACGCTTGGATATTAAAATAGACAGTGATTCAGCTACAAATGGGGCAAAGGACCAAACCGTTCTCATTACAGTCCGTACACCTGACCACCGTCAATCCGTCATGTTCCTCCCCGACTCTTGTGTCCCCGCCCTAACCCTTAATTAAATCCCCAAAACAACCTTGGTCCACCATCCTCATGACTTCCTCCGCTCCCCCAACGTGCCTCCCCTTAATGAAAACCTGAGGCGGTGTCGCTTGGTTTGTCCCTTTAAATATTTCCCATAACTCTTCCTTGAAGCTCTCGAATTTGTCGAGCGGCGATGATTTCAAAACAACTTCACTTCCGGGATCGTATTTGTTTAGCGGTGAAGAACTCGAAAAATGAGTCTTCGTGGCGGTGCCTTTTTTGTTTAAATTAGGATCGGCGTTTTCCTTTTCGGGGAGCGTTGTGTTTGAAAAACGGAAGCTCTCGGCCTGGAATTTCTCTAGCAGCGAAGATCGTGAGACCCGCGGCTTTGGAACGCTGCCGCTTTGAGAGAAACGGAAGCTATCGGCATCGAGTTCAGACATGAGCTCCCAAGAGTTAATGATCTCAGGTCGGGCAGGGACGAGTCTGGGCTCTGACCAGAGTGATTTGGACTCACTGAAGGTGGATTCGGAGGTGAAAGATGGCTCTGGAGGTCAAAGATACAAGCAATTTCTTTTTCCTGAGCTTGGGGAGAATGAGAGTCAGAGAAAGAGGAAAGAAGGAAGTTTTGAAACTAGAATCTCCACGCTACACCCTAAATGACAAGGCTTTGAATCTGAGATTTAATTGAGAAAGTGTGTGTGAAGAAGAAAAAGAAAGAAGGAAGAAGGATGGAGGAGAGGAAGCTGCTGCCACGTCAGAAAATTAACGGGATTAGATGTCACGTCAGCAAAAGTTAAACGGTAGGATCAAAATGAAAACGAACTAAAAATTTGATGATTGTATTGCAAATATCAAAAGTTAGGTGACCAAAACGTAATAGTATTAAAGGTTTAGAGACTATTTACATATTTTACCCTAAAAGAAATTGAAGGGAAAAGGACGAGAGTGTAATTTTGTGGGAAAATATTGGTAGTAGAATCTTGGAAATCCCAACCTGTATCTTCAACCCTTGTCTTTGTCTCTTTTCAAATCTTCAACCCTTTCTTATTTTATTTTTCTTCTTTCTCTTATCACTGTGCATGCGCTTGCACTTTATATATGAACTTTATTAATTATCCAGCAATTTTGGTATTTATATTGTAATATTATAAATTTTAATATTTGTATCTAAATAACAAGATTTTTATACAAATTAAGCGATTTTATTGATTAAAATATGAATGTTGTTTAAAGATTCCAGATTTGGACAAGTTATTCGAACGAATGTTTGAACGTTTATTATGAAATAATTAAAAATCTTTTAAATATATACATTATTTTATAATCATTTTAATCTAATTAAATAATAATAATGAGATTTCATGGAGTTGTTACGCAACTTGTCCCTAAATGGTAAAGTTACGATTAATATATATATATATATATAATCATTTCTTTATAAAAATAAATATTTTTTATACTTTTAACTGATGTAAAAAATTATCATTTTCAATATCATTTGTATCCATTATAAATATCGACGAATTCATCTCATCTTCATTACACTTCTATCATAATTTTTTTTTCAAAATCTTTTTAAAATTCACAAAAATGAACACAACAATTTTTTTAATTTTAAAAAAAAATTGAGGCTTTTATAGATATAAAAAATTTAAGATGTTTGTTCGAAAATTAAATGATAAAATATAATCTTCAATAAATATACCAAAGGCTCTTGTTAATAAAAATGGTTTTTTAGTAATACTTTAAAATCATGTTATTTTATACAACGGGTTAGTTCAAGTAGTAAGTAATTTGATATCGCTTAAGTAATGTCTCGAGTTCGAGTCATTGTGTATGCAGAAAATCCTCGATGGGAGACTCATCTACCAAAGTCAGGTGTACGACGCGAGATGATTCAAATTAATCTGGGCAAAGCATAAAATCGGAGGACGATATATTATTTTCTTTCAATTAAATTCCTATTTTTATGGATAAAAATAATATTTTTTAATAAATATATTATTTCGAGTTGGGTCGGGTTTGGATTTTATCTCAAAAAATAAGATCGGATTCCGGGGTCAGGTGTATATTTTTCAGGTCGGTGGAAGATTTATAATTTTTTAACGGATCGGGTAGACCAAAAATCCGACCCGACCCATGCTCATCCCTAGATAAATTCAATGGTGATCTAATCATAAATACTTGTATTCAATAATAAAATATTTTTCTATTAACCGAGTGACCTCAATGGTAAAATCACTGTTATTATTCATTGATGTCCCGAGTTTGAGCACCAGTAATGTAAGGGGTATGAGCGTGTAATGCCAAATTGTTGAGAATATTCTTTGAATTGATATTGCATTGTACTTATCGCATATTAATAATAATAATAATTGTCAACTTACGGGACATTGATATTGCATTGATGTAAGGGGTTTGAGCACCATTTTACTTATGGGACGTGTTAGAGAATTTTATTCATATGTATATTCGGTTCACAATTTACGATAATGAGTGTCAACTGAGAGTTTTTAACCATATAATCTAGAAATTGTTGATGATTTATTGAAATTATTGAAAGTTCGAAAATATTTTTACCGTTAGTTAACCTATATCATCATCACCAAATGTAGGAATAGCAACGACGGTGGCACCGCCGCCTAAAGGAACTGAAGCCAACTTCTCCCTTCTAGATGTAATTAGCTTGGCGATACCTTTACCTTTGACTTGAGACAATAGAGACTCTATCCTATCATCATCATCCTCCTCGACTCCAATAGATCTGAGAATATCCTTCAGATCATCAGTAGAAGAGCCAAGGTTTCCTCCCAGGACGACAAGCAAATAGGCAACGATCACCTTCATTAGAGCATTGCATCTACTTGGCTGAAATTCTGAAAACACTTGCACTGGACAATGAAAAGATGCATCTTCCATGGATTTTCGAACTTTTTGCCACAAGAGTTTCAAATTTGCTTCTTTAACTTTCATCAATTTCTGAGATTTTTTTGTTAAATTTTATTGATTTTTGATTTTGTAATGCCATCTTAAGAAACATGGTATTTTTTATGAATACTTCGAAAGCTAATTGCATGTGGAAGGGGGCTGTTTATGAGGAAATTGAGTGAGTTTTCGGTTTCTTTTTTTACAGAGCAAGAAGAGTAGAAAAAAGTGCAGGAAATAATTGAGAAAGGATTTTTTTCCTTGAAAGAATATCAATAATGTTCACGGTACATTCTCGTTATTGTCATGGTGTGTAAAAAAGCACCATTGCAGCAGCCATAAAAACTATGGCTTATTATCTCACTCCATCCTCCACCACAAATCATCCGCCGGAGGCATCTCCTTTAGCAGCCTTTCGAACTCCTTGAACGACAAGTTTTTCATCAACGCCGCCGACTCCCCCGACCTAGATGAAGCACTCCCAACCCCGGCAGCGGCCTGTTCTTTTTTGTTTATCTGATCTTCATGGTAAAACCGGCTCCTCCGACTCGGCGGATTGCTTGTAACTTCCGAATCTTTTCCGGTCAGCTCTTGCACGATGGACTTAAAGCTCGTGGCATCCGTCTCGACATACTCGGTGTTGATGATCACCACCTTCACCGGTTCTCCTCCGTTCGACATATCGAAAGAAGAATTAAAAGAAACCAATAATCCAATTATGCTAGAGGAGTAAAGGGTAGCTTTTGTTTTATGATTTTGTGTTGGTGTATGCTGTTTCCATATAGATATATAGAGAGATGAGACTATTTGACCGTTATGTTTAGAGGCAGTCTAGAAGGACCAATTATTTTTTTATTGGATTCAATGGCACATGAGAGGAAATTGCATGTTGAAATGCGTTGCATTTGTACGTATGTATACGATTACGAGGTCAGTCAAAGGGCACATGCGTGATGCATGCCATTGTGGACCCTGCATGGCCCCTTCTGCTTTTACGTTTATGCATTCTTTCAAGTTTCGGCCTCAATTTCTGTGGTTGATGAAGGAAGGAGAGAATTGGACGTAGCTCTGGTTAATCACGTTACGTAAATGATTAAAAATTAATCTCTTGTGAAAGACATAAAGTTCTGATATTTTTGTGATTATGATCGAGAAATACTAAGAGACTTAATTATTGTCGGATTCATTTCGATCACCGATATTTTGATTTAATCAATCAAACCACTCAATTATTTAAATAATTCAATCAAGTTATTGCCCGTTAACTTTTAATGGGTGAGGTGAGAAGCCAGTTAAAAAACTTGGTATAATTGCATATTTACTCCCTAATATTTATATATTCTATCATTTTAGTCATAATATAAGGTGGTATCCCAAGTTTGATTCCACACCGGTGTATGCTCTTTTCCCTTTATTTTCTCTCTTTAATATAGTGGTGACACGTGTTATCACCTTATTGATGAGAAAATCATTAGATTAAATAAATGAAATTAAAGAAAATATCCTCTAATTAGGTAGTGATATGTGTTACGATTTCATTAGTGATTAAATTTATTTTAATTGAATTAAATTGTGACTAAAATTATATAATGTATAAATAATGAAGATTAAATATGCAACTATATCAAGTTTTTTTTACAACCACACTACCTCTTCAGTTAGAAATTAACGGACAAGGACTTTATCAAAGCATTTAAATAGTCGAACGGTCTGATTGATTAAATCGAAACATCGATACTCAGAATACAATCTAACAATAATATAAATAAAATCTGACAATAATTAAATGGTCACATGAGTAGGTTTACCAAAATAATTATAATCATATGGTTGGTGGTTATAAAGTTTATGTCACTTGAGGTTCAAGTAATATAAAATATAGTTGTTCCTTCTGCTAATATTAGAAAATGGCAAAAATGATTTGAAGTTTGACCAGAAATGGATCAGAAAAGGTCACTTTTGGCTTTAGCTTGGTCTCTTTTTCTTATTTTATGAGCACGTTTTCATATAAAATCAGTAACTGTGCATGATTTGACTCTAGAGATTTTATTCAAATTTTAATTTCATTATACACATATTAATATGGATAATAAAATAAAAACTATATATATAATGGACCAACTCATATTATTTTTTTAATTAAATCCTTAATTAATACCGAGTCATGTTGGATTTATGCTCTAGAAAATCAAGTCAGATGAAGAATATATATTTTTCGAATTAGATCGAGTAAGATGTAGGATATAAATTTTTTTAGTCTGATCGAGTTCGTATGGAGAGTGCATTTTTTGGGTTAGATTAAGTTGACCTTAACCCGACCCATCGTCATCCCTGGATACATACATACATGGATGAGAGATGATTTAGGGTTTTTTCAAGGATTATTAGATCGATTTGATTGAATTAGGTTAACTCTAGGGTGGTTTGTTAATTTTGATGGGTGATTAATTCATTATTTATTTACGTTGTTGGACCCATTAATTAGTGAGGGAAAGAGAAAGGAAGAAAATGATAGTTGCCAAGCTTGACCGCTGTTGGGATAGGGACAATATCAAATTTAACTTATTGAGTTTTAGAATGGGTCATTATCCCCCATATAATCAAATTTATATTTGTTAATCTCGATCTTTGACACACTTTTTTTCTGTTATTTTGATATATTTTAATTGTTTTTGTCAGTTGTTTGATAACTTTTTTATTTTTTTCTTTCATGATTAGATTTGATATTACCGTCATTAACTGAGGTGATATTTATTTGTTATCATATCGATTTTCTCTATTTTAGACTCTCGGGGCTTGGATTAATTTTAGATTTATTATTTACGTTCATAGATAGTTTCTTATGATGTTTGGCTCTAATTTGCGTCGGTAGTCTTTCATTAGTTTGATTTCATATTACAGTTCGTGTACCAGTGTAGTCAGATTTATTAATATCTATCTTTTGTTCGAATTTATTTTGGGGCTTTTCAACTTTTTCTTGTATGATCTTTATATGATCTTAAGTGGTTAATATATTTGTGTCAATAGTTATAAGAGAACATTTTAATCATGTGTTTAATTTACATTTAATTTATGACTATGATTGTAAATCATAATTATAATTTTAGCTATTTTTTATTTTTAATAAAAATAATTATTTTTATTTTTTTAAATAATCTATTTCAATAATTTAAAATTGTGTATCACCACCCTTTCCTCACACTAGTAGGTGGGATTGTCGAAACTCGAATCGACTAGAAAAAATAATAATCACCGACCGTTCATACAAACAAACAAACGAAAGGAAATCGCTTTTATATATATATATATATATCAAAGGGTGTAGAGTTATCAATTTCGACTTTTTACGAAGACATGTCATCCTGTAACAAGACATTAAGCAAAGGTTATAGCAAAACATAGGTTTCAACTAATAATGGATAACAGCTCCTGGAGATTATCAACTAATATCAGAGTAGTCTGATGGCTGAAGTCGAGTTTATCGCAGAAACATAGGTTTCAAGGTACCATAAACATAATCTGAAATAATTTGAGCCCAGGTCCTGAAAATATGAACTTACCATGACAAATTCAACAAAAGCAATTCGAGTTGAATGCACATTATCCCCTAAAAGCCTCAATCGAGTGACCTGAGAATTAAAAGAAAAACAATGTCGACCTTCGGAACCTCTTATCTTTAGGGTGCGTTTGATTCACGGAATGTAGATTACCAGTGGGAATGTAAGATTATCAGGGAATAGGATTACTGAGAATGTTGTATTTTGTGTTTGGTTGACTTAGCAAGAATGTAAGATTAACGTGTTTAGCTAAATGAATAAAAGATTATTATAATGTATATTTGACCAAATTGTCCTTATTAGATATTTGTTTTTTAACAAGTTGGAAAATATTTATATATTTTCTTTAAAAGATTTAAATTCGTAAAATTTATATAATTTTTTTTTACAAAATTTAAAATATAAAAAGGTTTAATGAAAGGGTAAAATTTTATTTTAACCCTAAACTTCATATAAAATTTCAATTATAGATTTTTTTTGTAAATCTAAAATAGTTTAAGGATAAATTTGTAATTTAACCTTCGTAAAATTTTTATTATTCAATGACAGAAGAATGATATTTTTGAAAGAAAAAAAATTTAAGGGCATTTTAATCCAAAACGTCAGTAATCCAACAATAACTAAGGAAATGGAGGTAATGACATTCCCGATAATATACCAAAAAAACTCACTATTGGTAATCTTATATTACCAGGAATGAGATTCCAGGACTAATCAAACGGGAGAATGTAGATTCTATTCCCATGGGAATCCCACATTCACTAATCCAAACGCCCCCTTAGTCTTAGTAAAAAACAGATAGAAAAAGGACATGCATGGTATCGATGCGATACTAACCTCACCACAGGCTGATTCAAAGAAATTCTTCACTTCAGCTTGAGAAACCTTCAAATAAAGTAAAAATGTTCTAGAGGATGAAGTTGTGCAAGAAGCAGCATCAGTCACTGAGGAACAAACAGAATAATAAACAAAAACTTTAAAACCAACATTTTAACTCACTTGTCCACAATTACTAAATAAGCCAACAAGTTGCTCATCAGTGACCTGAAAGAGGCAATTTTTCGAAAGTGACTTCACCGAATCAGAACGAAACCATTACTATTGTACACGTAACAACATTACACATAAGTCTTCTAAGAACAATCAGCTCAGGTCAACACAATACAAGCCAATAGTACACAACAACGTATCAGAAAAACCAGTTACCGTTGCTCTGCAAGTTGCTTCTTTGACGGCGTCTACCACCGAGTTTCGACCGCTTCAGCTTTCGGGGTTGAAGTCCTTCGACCTTCATCACCAGCCATTGAGGTTTCCCAGTTGAAAACACCACATACCCCATAATCAGTCCAAAAATAACTCCACATCCATATCTTAACACTACAACTTTCCATCCGACTTCAAACATTGAACCTGATGAAACATTTTGTTGTCGTGCTGGACGATGCTGTGTTTCACTTGGGTTGCACACTTTGGACAATGGAAATCCGCATAATCCCGAGTTTCCTAGATAGGACTCGTTTGAGAATGTATTGAATTGCTTCCCCAGAGGGATTGGTACCTCAAGCTTGTTGTATGAAAAGTTCAAGACTTCAAGGAATGTCAGATCCACCAACTTTAGTGGAATTCTGCAAGAAAGTTGATTTGAAGAGAGCTCTAACCATTCCAAGTCTGTCAAGGACCCAATCGACGATGGAATACATTCCGTGAGATTGTTATGGGAAAAGTTGAGGCCTTTAAGCGAATTAAGCTTTCCAATGTTGCTTGGAATTTCCCCACTGAAATTGTTGTTGGACAGATCAGTGGTGGTGAAGATGGTAAGAATTCTCTCCAGCTCAATATAAATTCCTTTCATGGTTATCTTCACATCATTCCGATAGTAGCGGTCTTCAGGTCCCATGTATTGTAGTTTCCCTAGTTCATTGCTGCCCACGCTCGACATAGCTTTTAAATTGTGGAAGAACCTCGTAGGCAATGAGCCATTGAATTCATTGTGAGAGATGTCCATGATTCGCAACACAGGAAAGAAAGGTTTGGTTTTAGAGCTCACTATGCTACCATGGAACTTGTTGGATCTTAAGACAAGAACCCGAAGCTTTGGAAGAGTTCCAAGCCGATGGGGGAACTCACCACTAATTTTGTTGTTACCAACATCAACAACTTCCAGTTCTTTACAATTATTGAGAGATTGTGGCAACAATCCCTCTAATTGGTTCCCGTTCAGGGCAAGAGTCGTTAAGTTTTCGATCTCACAAATTGATGCTAAGATAAAATTGAGCTAAAATGTCATGTTTATTACAAGAGCAACAATTCAAATTACAAACAGAAATATAAAAATACAGACACTAAGAACAATCATCTCAGCTCAAACACAAATACAGACACTAGAAATATCACAAGCCAATAGTACACAACAATATATTAGAAAAACCAGTTACCAATAAGTCTTCTGAATTACTCTGCAACTAGTTGCTTCTTCGACGGCGTCTACCACCTCGTTTCGACCGTTTCAGCTTTCGGGGTTGAAGCCCTTCGACCAACATCACCAGCCATTGGGGTTTCCCAGTTGAAAACACCACATTCCCCACAATCAGTCCAAAAGCAACTCCGCATCCATACCCTAAGACTACAACTTTCCACCCAAAGTCAAACATTGAACCTGATGAAACATTCTGTTGTTGTGCTGGAGGGTGCCGTGTTTCACTTTTGTTGCACAATTTGGACAATGGAATTCCACATAATCCCGAGTTTCCTCGATAGGACTCGTTTGAAAACGTATTGAATTGCTTCCCCTGTGGGATTAGTCCCTCAAGCTTGTTGTATGAAAAGTTCAGGACTTCAAGGAATGTCAGATCCAACAATTTCTGCGGAATTCTGCAAGAAAGTTGGTTTGAAGAGAGGTCTAACCATTCCAAGTTCGTCAAGGAACCGATCGATGATGGAATACATCCCATTAGATTGTTATGGGAGAAGTTGAGGCCTTTAAGCGACTTAAGCTTGCCAATGTTGCTTGGAATTTCCCCACTGAAATTGTTGTTGGACAGATCAATGGTGGTGAAGATGGTAAGAATTCTCTCCATCTTAATATAAATTCCTTTCATGGTAACCTTCACATCATTCCGATAGTAGCGGTCTTCAGGTCCCACATATTGCAGTTTCCGTAGTTCATCGCTGCCCACGCTCAACATAGCTTTTAAATTGTTGAAGAACCTCGTGGGCAATGACCCTGTGAATTCATTGTGAGAGATGTCCATGATTCGCAACATAGGAAAGAAATGTTTGGCTTTAGAGCTGACTATGGCACCATGGAACTTGTTGGATCTTAAGATGAGAACCCGAAGCTTTGGAAGAGCTCTCAACAAGTAGGGAAACTGACCACCAATTTTGTTGTTACCAACATCAATAACTTCCAATTTTCTACAATTATGAAGAGAATGCGGCAATGATCCCTCCAATTGGTTCCCGTTCAGGGCAAGAGTCGTTAAGCTTCTACATTGGACAAATTTGGTAGGGATTACCCCATGAAAGTTGTTCATCCGCAGATCCAACACCATCAACGAATCGCTGAAATTTCCCAAACATTGTGGAATTTTGCCATTCAAGTTGTTATTGGACAAGTCGATAACTGAAGTAAAGCTGTTGTTGCAGATTGAAGGAGGAATCTCTCCTGTGAACTTATTGTTCGAAATCAAAATAAAATCTGCCCAGTGCACTGCATCTGGAAGTGATCCTTGAAGTAAATTCGAGTGGAGATCAAGCACGGATAAGCTCTTCCATGGATGAAATCCTTGGAAACTTGTGAGAAGGTTGTGTGAAAGATTCAGATATGACAACGAATCCTCTCCAAGTCCCCAAAACCACTTTGGAAGAGGCCCCTGAATTTCTTTACTCGAAAGATCTAATCTTTCCACAGACTTTGAATCTCTCAAGAATGTTGGGATTTCACTTATGTTGCATGAGGACAGACTTAAGTAAGTAAACATGGGGAAGGATAAATTTCGGTTGCTACTAGGAAGGCTCAAGGACAAGGTGTTGTATGAGAGATCAAGATAGGTAAGATTCTTGAGTTTTGAAATCACCTCTAGATCAAGAAAGCCACTCATGTTATTTGACGAAAGTAAGAGTCTCTCCAGGTGCAGAAGCCCAAAGAGTGACCTTGGAATTGGGCCATGGAGCTTGTTGTTGCTCAGATCAATGAAAGACAGCCGTGATTCATTCACTTGAAAGTCATCAATATGGCCTTCAAGTTTATTATAGCTAAGATCCAAGCGTTGTAATGAAGGGATATTAAACAAGGAAGGCGGTACTATTCCAGTAAGTTACTAGATATGTCAAGTAAAACCAAGCCTGAATGACTACTTACGCTTGTTGGGATATGACCCGTAAGTTGATTATGTGAAAAGCACACTGAAATAGGTTGTGTCAGGTTGAATAAAGAAACTGGCAACTGGCCATTGAAATTGTTCATCCGAAGATCTATGACAGACAGGTTGGTGAGATTAGTGAATGCATTTGGAATTTGACCAGTGAAGTTGTTTTCTGAAAGAACTAAAGAGGAAAGATGTTCAAGTTTTCCAATTGAAAAGGGAAGCTTACCTGTGAAATTCCCACCCGAGAGGTGAATATCAGTGATTTGTGTAAGGTTTCCAATGGATGCAGGAATAGATCCTGTGAAAGAACCTAGCAGATGCAGGGACTTGAGCGACACTAAATTGCCAATGGAAATAGGTAGTTCTCCAGTGCCATCAACATACAAATATTCCCAAAACTTCAAACCCCCAATAGAATCCGGTAATCCTCCTGAGAATCCCGTGGCCACTACTTGTAAGAACTTGAGGGGTAGCAGTCCAATTAGACTTGGGGAAATGACCTCTCATAGGATTATACCGTAGCTGGATTGATTCCAAGTTTGGTAATTGGAATATATAAACCGGGAATTCTCCTCCGTTAGTGTAGCCTAGACTACACATGTCTAGACCGAGAGACACCAAAGAAGAAGACAAATTGGCGAGAGAATGAGGAGCAACACCAGACATGTCTACCAAATCGAGCACCAAGTCCCTTAAATTAGTCATGTTTCGGACCGATCTCTTCATAGCAGCATTCTCCAAGTAGAGACCTCGATTGGAAGAGAGGTCTAGAGAAACAATTTTGGATAAATGGGATATTTCTTGAGGGACGGAACCAGAAAGACCAGACCAAGATAAGTTGAGATGTGTCAACTCAGCCAACTGCGAGATTGTTGAGGGGATTTCAGACCTGCAAAACTCATTGTGAGCCAAGTTAAGCCATCGGAGATGAGAAAGATGAAAAAGAGTGGTGTCGGAATTGATTGTGCCATAAAGCTGGCAGTCTTGAAGGTCGAGGCCGATGACATTTCCGGTTACATTATCACAGGAAACCCCGTCCCAGAAGCAACAATCACTTCCTTCCTTCCAAGAAACAATCTTTCTTGGTCCGCTCATAAATGGACCTTCAACCGAACAGTTACTTAAAGAAATTGCAGTCTTGAATTGGAGCAATGCAAGGTTCTGATCAGGAGGGCACAAGTGTGAAGAAGAAGAAGAAGAAGAAAGAGACACTGACAAAAAAGCAACTTGAAAGACTAAAATTATCAATAATGGAAAGTTGAGAAACTTAGAGGCAAGTGTTATAAAGATTTGCTCCATCTTCTCCCCAATACAAGCAATTAAAAAGAAGAACCTGTGTTATGTATATCATTTATGAATGTAAATTTATAAGCCAAAAATTAATGGAAATTGAAGTCTTCGACTCTTGGTGAGCCACGCAAAAACGAGAAAACGCAAGTCTTTGTTGGCTTCCCATGAAAGAAATGCAGATTTCTATATAGTTGTTCATATTACAATAGACAACGCCAAATTTAGCCGAAATGAGTAGAAGATATACGTGAAAGCAAACTGATTGACGACGAAAGTCGTACTCACATTCACATTAGAATGATTTTATATTTTTATAATTATAAAGGTTTCCGAAATAATATTTATAACTAATTAATATTTTTTTATTTTTTAAATAATATGAGTGATTTAAACGTATTATATATTCAAAATCATTCTTAATTATTGACAACATACACAGGGATGAATCGAAGAGAGACAGATGGAGGACAGACACATCACTTGAGAATTTAAAATTAGTATATATTTTATATTTTTTTCCATGTATTTCTATTCAAAATCTGTTCTCGCCCTCTGAAATTTTATAGATTCGTCCAATCTAAAATTTTAAAAAGCCGTCCCTCTAACATAAATTTTTACGTACATCCCTGAACGTACACACACGTCAGACACAACTATTCGAATCCATGATTGTGAGGGAGAACAAAACTTACTTTAACTATCAATACCACTTGATGAATTCTTTATGATTAATTTTCTTTTTTTCATTAATCTGAAGTAAATACAAAATAAATTTTATTTAAAAATAACTTTAAATCATTTGACATTAAACGCTTCCGTATCATCGTTTTTTTAAATAAATCTAGAAAAAGTTGTTGAAGTGTTGTAATAATGAAGAATTTATTCGATACACAAGAAAGACTTGGGCTCTCAAAATTCCACAATTAATTTTACATTAATTTAGATATAAAATTTAAATAGTTGTACGACAACTACAAATTATCTTCTACTTCTAAAATATATTATTTGTCCATCTTAAATCAAAATTTTAACTCCATTATTAAATAAAATAATAATCATATCAATTGAGTTAGATTTAATCAATACGTATTACAATTAATCAATCAAATTAATTATTAATATAAAAATTATATTAATATACGATTTATTTTATTTAAATAATTATTGAGAGATATCATAGAACCCCGATATAAATAAAAAAGGGTGAATTATGTATTTAGTATCTAAACTATCAGTTTTGATTAGTTTTAGTATCTAAACTTTTAGATTTTTCAAAATTATACCTAATGTTTAATTTTTTATTTCATTTTAGCACCCCCACTGTTAAAAACTTAATGAGTTAGTACCTAAATTATCAATTTTAATCTGTTTTAGTACATAAACTTTCAATTTATTTTAAAACTTAACGTTAAATTTTGAATATGATACTAAAATGAAACAAAAACTAAACTTTAGGTACGATTTTGAATAAAAAAATTTAAATATTAAAATAAACTAAAACTGATAGTTTAGATATTAAACTCGTAATTTTCCCTATAAAAAACAGTGATTGAGTGGCAAATCATAAAATCTTACCTGCCACTCACAAAATTCCCTACATGGAAATGCAGGATTTCATTGCCTGTGCTCTATGCTTATGATTGTTGAATTGCACATGATTTTACAATTATTTATTTATTTCTTTATTTTATTTTTTATTTTAAAAAATAATTTTACTTTCTAAAACTATAAAGACTTATATTTAACTCGATAAAAAAATTGATAGAATAAGAATATCACTGGATTTGTGTGTGACTCGATATTTACATTTGAGGCGATATTTATAGGGGAGAGGATGGGTGATTATCAGCTTGAGTAAATAATTGAAGGAGCAATAATTTTGGGGAATAATGGAAGGCGCGACCGCATCTTCCAGCATGTGTCGGAATCCCGTCGAAGGTGTGCCTGAGGATTCACACTTTACCCCGTGGCGTTAACTCGGACAGAAGGCACGCTTGATGATCCAATTTTTCCATCCACGTGTGCAAGGCGCGTTTAGTCAACCGCACTTTATTGCCAAAGGGTGTTATATCGTTAATATTTAGAGAAACGGTACCTGACATATAAATAATATATATTTGGGTGATTTTTGGATAAAAATACCAAAATAAATACTTAAGTTACTTTATTTAATAAAAATATCGTTATACAATTATTGATAATTAAAAAAAAATTAAAAATTTGAATTTCCCATACTTTAATTTAAAATGACATAACTAGAAATAAAATAAAAAAGCAAAGCAAGTACATTCCTAAACACCCTATTCCACAAATCCAACGGTGGATAACAAAATCACAGTAAAATCGTCACCACTCCCTATAAACAGAACAGGGAGTGGACCCTACACGTGTCCAGTTGACAGCGAATTGTCATGTGCCACGTGTATAGAGTATTAAAAGTACAGTGCTTTGAGTCTGAATAGTGCAGACAATTTTTTTCTCTCTCTCCAAAACCAAAAAAACTGGGAGAAAAAAAAGAAGAAAATAATGTGAATGCAAAAGAAAGTAACAGAGAGGAACTATTGTCTTTAGACTTACCATCTGAGGAATCAAAGAATCTTTTTCCGAGTTTTGAAGAGAGAAGAAAGAAAAAAAAATGTTTGTTGAGTGTTTTTTTTGCTTTGGGATTTAGATTTGTTATTCTACTTGCATGAAAGAGAGGTAAGAAAGATTCAAGCTTTACTCAACTCTGCCCATGGTTTCATCAAGTTGTACTTGCTTTACTGCTTATTTTAGCCTTTTGGGGTTTGAATCTGAGATTGCTGAAATTCTAGGTTTCAATGAACTTGCTGTTTTGAAGAAAAAAGTTGGTTTTTTAGCAGATGAGTTATTTGTTAAGCTGTACTTATTTAACTAGCTTTGTCCTAGAAAATGCTGGCTGTGCTTTGCGTTATTTTTCCCATTTTGGGTATAAAAGTAGATAAGGACCTGCAAATAGAACCAGTTCTTAGAAATTGGTTAGTTTGGTAGTGCTAATTGGTCTTTTTCAAATGGGAAAGATTTGAGTGACGTTCTCTTAGATTTGTTCGTTTAAATAATATTTAATCTTGCGTGCTTGATTCAATTAACTCTAGCTAAAATGCTGGTGCTTTTGGGGAGGACAAGTTTTTTTGTTTTCCAATGACTTTGCTTGTTGTGCCTGAAACTATAGTTCTAATATTTGGTGCATTGTGGAAGTGAGATGCTTCATTTAGCGGCTTTTGTGAACCGAAAACTGTTTCGGATGTCATTCCTTGTCCTTATGAGCTAGTAAAAAGATGGTTTCCCCTTCTTCCATGTTGCTCCATTTCCTTCCATTTTGTTGCTCTCTGTGGAAGCAAAGTATGGAGATCTTGTCAGTTCATGTCATTTGTCTAGCGGAGCGGAACTGCTTTTTTCATAATGAATTCTCTGTAAAAATCAGATATGATTGAGCCTTTTCTGAACTCAACCTAATTTAAGGTGTTTCGATTCTTCATTATATTTACAGATTGTCCTACAGTCAAAACAATAGATATATAAGTTTAGATTTTAGAAATAAATAGAGAAATAAAACTATAAAGAAGAGAGATGGGAATGACTTATCTTCGTATATTCACAGACTCAAACCAGCAAACTAAAGTTGACTGAAGTTTGCTTTAGTTGCTACATTTAGTACCTGGCAGTGGTGGAACAATTTTTCTGAACTTGTTAAATAGAAACCATTTTCCCATTGTCAAGTTGGTGTAAAGTTCCTCTGTGGAATCGGAAGAGAATCTGAGTAATGGTTGTGCTTGTGCATCTTCATGTTTAATGATAGTTAAAACTAGAAATCTTGTCACTTTTTTGCCATTTTTTAATCTGAATTATGTATATATATTTTTTGTTGCTTTAAGTTTTATCGTCTTTGATTTGGTTGGTGTAGGTATAAAGTAAGCAAGCTTTTGCCCCGACATAAGTCATCCTCTAACAACCAAAACTTTTCCCCGAGTCCCCTCTTTCCCAGTAATATAGCTGGGTTTAATTGTGTTGTGAACAGGAGGATCCCAATGCCGACTGGGAATTATATTCCATGTTTCCCATCTCCTTGTTATTGTAGGATGAGTGCTTAGACTGAAATTGTTTTGCTGATATGGTATCTAAGTTTATTCATGGACTTGATTTATTTTCTTCACTGCAACCCATATGAATGGCAGCATCTCCTTCATTTTGAAATAACTTGTGGAGTTTTGGCTGCACTATTTCTTGAATGTATGTAAAGCCGGGAAACGAGTAATCCACTTTTGTGTTTTGATGCAAATATTCAAAGTAGAATGCCAAGCAACTCTCTCTATACTTGCTTGTTTGTATGATAGTGTGGTTCTTTATGTGGCAATCTTATGTGTGACCTAACGAGTCAAAGAAACCTTGACAGGGTTAAAGGGAAGAGAACGATTTTCACATCTTCATTTGTTACTGGTGTGGAAGTTGATTTCAATGGGCTTATGTAGCTTTTGAAGAATATATTCTGGATGGCAAATCTGCGCTCAAATTGGTCATGAGAATGCTTGTTGGAACATGCTCGAGCCAAGAGAAGCTGATATACCCGCATTGTTTCTGGTCTTGGTGGTGCTTCCTCTGGTTGCTTATTTCTTGCTAGGGAAATGGAGTGAGGTTTCAAATAAACGAGAGAAGATAAGTCTACTTGCTCATCTTGCCGCTGAAGAAGCTCTTAGAGCAGAAACAATGGCTGCTGCAAGTGTTACTCCAGTTGCTCCTATTCCGAAGAAGGGATTGCATGTGTGTGCTAGGTGTTTTGGTCCAGCTACAACTCGCTGCTCGAGATGCAAGGCTGTCAGATATTGGTATATCCTATCCGTTAGCAGCTGCAATGCATCTTCTATTGCTATACTTCATTGTTGTCGAATGGTTTTATTGTTTGGGAAAGTAAAATAAAATATTTCTTTAAAACTGTTGAATTTATGCAGTTCTGGGAAGTGCCAGATTATTCATTGGAGGCAAGTTCATAAAGAGGAATGCCTGCAGTTGGAGAGCTCAAGCTCAAGCTCGTTTCCTATTGTTGCCTCATTTGAAGAATCTACGCTACTCAGTGCCAACATGAATTCACAGTTCTTCGAGTACATTAATAAGCAGGCTGCCAGGGAAAATGCACCTTTAGATAACATAAATCATTGTCCCATAACCACTGGTTTATTTGATAATGGGGATTGTTCTCCTGCCGGTACCTCTCAAGTCTGTGCACCAGAGAAACGTGCAGACAAAAGAATTTCTCGTCAATCCAATGGAGAAATACTAGGAAGAGAGGATGCAGCTGTATTTGATTCTTGTGAGGAGACCATGAGGACTAGAGCAACTAGTTCGGCACCAAATAATATTTCTTCAAAAGAAGCTCATAGAAGGCATAAGGTTCTTATCTTAACATACTTTTTTGTAGAATGTGTTAACTTTTATTTAATCACATGGTTTCTGATAATTGCATCAAACTATTGCTGCAGTCGAGAACTAGTGGCTTTGTTGTATCCGAAGATGGAATCTTAAAACAGCAAAATGCCAGTGGTTCTAACATGCATATTCGTGGACAAAATGCAAGTGTGGACATGCATGAGAGTCATAAACATCAAAGCCAACAAGGCAATATGCCCGAACCCAAAAGCAGTTATGAAATTTCTTGCCCACCATATTCTGTAAAAGGTGGGAAAAGCGCACATGAAGCTGAAAATGCCTTTGTCTGGACTTCGGAGAATATTGTCAATAGGGAAAATGCTTTCGGTGGTAAATCAGTAGAATTAGACTGTTCTGGGGTGGCAGCAGCAAAAGAATGCACGAAAGTTAGAGGTTCATTGCAGTCAGTAGGACCCAAAATATCCAAGTCACCTAAATCCAAGTCACCTGATGAATTAAGTAGGTTTTCAATATTTCTTTCTTGATATTTTAGCCATGCTAGTTTTTTCTACAATTTTCTTCTGGAATGACAAGTAACATTCTGGCACCAGGTATCAATGGAGCTGCCAGCATTGGAGTTATGGAGATGATGGGTTCACGGAAGTCATCTAAACTTGCCAGGCAGGATTTTCCTGCATCCTATGGTGATAGACATAAGAAGATAAAGGTCAGTTCCTTTACGTTTATCTATGATTGTTATCTGTTCCATTCTTCTGTTGTTGAGTTAAATTATTTCATGGGGCTCTTGAAATGTGAATGAAAAACTCCGGACTATGATCTATTATCCTATTGTCACAGATGCTGTTTCCTTACGAAGAATTTGTAAATTTCTTCCAGTGTGAAGTCTTTGACTTATTGCCAAGGGGCCTTCTAAATTGCGGAAACAGGTATTACTTTTGTTATGGTCCCTCCCACTATATTTGGAACATGGTCATATTGGTAGGAAATTTCTCTAGTAGTACATGTTCGTACATCAGACCGATTGGTAATAAAAAAGCAGTGTGTTAAACATCAGATCAGACCAATCAAAACATACTGCCTTTTTGGATTTTCCAGGGGATGACTTGTTTGTATGCATATAAAAGAAAGATTTAGGAGCTCATGTTTTATGAACTCATTATAGTTTTCATTTTGCAGCTGCTATGCTAATGCTGTTATGCAGTGTTTAACCTTCACAAAGCCTCTCAGCATCTATTTGCTACATGGATATCATTCAAGAACCTGTACTTGCTTTTATGTGGTTTACTTGTTTTTTTTTTGTACATACTAATATTAACGTTGTTCAATCATATGCATAGCTCACTTTGTTTAACATTATATAGGTTACGGGAAGGATTGGTGTCTTATGTGTGAGCTTGAGCAACATGTTATGTTGTTAAGAGATGCTGGAGGCCCCTTGTCACCTAGTAGGATCCTTTTGCACATCCGAAGTATTAATGGGCAGATGGGTGATGGAAGTCAGGAAGATGCACATGAGTTCTTGAGGTCTACAGAATTCACTTGCTGACATCCCCTGGCTCCCTTCTTTTCCCCTCATTTATGTGTTTAGATTTGTTAGTTTCGATTTAAAATTGATGCTTTTACTTTATGTAAGAATGAAAATTTCATCACCTTGCCTCTCTGAAAGTTCCAATCTTTGTCTGTTTCAGACTCTTGGTTGCTTCAATGCAATCTATATGCTTGGAGAGGTTAGGCGGTGAACAAAAGGTTGACCCCAGGCTGCAGGAGACCACATTTATACAACATACTTTTGGAGGGTGTCTTAGGTCAAAGGTGAAGTGTACTTTTTACTTCGTTTTACTTTTATCTCGTGATATACTTTTGTGGTGCTCCATTTTACCTTTCTTGAATTCATATATGTTTATGTACCTTTTTTTTTTTGCCTAAACTGAATAACCATGTAACCAGGTGAAGTGTCTAAGATGCTCTCATGAGTCAGAAAGATATGAAAACATTATGGACCTTACTTTGGAGATATATGGTTGGGTTGAATCACTGGAAGATGCATTAACTCAGTTTACAACACCTGAAGATTTGGATGGAGAGAACATGTACAGATGTGGAAGGTACGAAACCATTGTTTCATTGTGTCGCCACATTATCATTTGATTAGAATTATTGATTAATTTGATTAATCTTGTTTTATTTATTGGCTCTGTGAATATTTTTGTTAAAAGGTGTGCTAGTTATGCTCGAGCTAGGAAGCAATTGCGCATACACGAGGCTCCTAATATCCTGACAATTGTCTTAAAGAGGTTTCAGGTATTACGTTGCTCTACATATTGTCCTCTGTTAATGTCGTGTTAACTATTTTATGTGATTATTTCTTGATGTGGATGTTAATCAGGAGGGAAAATATGGGAAAATAAACAAGTGTATCACTTTTCCTGACATGCTGGATATGGTTCCTTTCATGACTGGAACGAGTGACATCCCTCCGCTTTACATGCTTTATGCTGTCGTTGTACATTTGGATACACTCAATGCATCTTTTTCCGGACACTATGTGTCATATGTAAAAGATATGCGAGGCAGCTGGTTCAGGTTAGATGATACCGAGGTAAAGTTATCACCGCCCTTTTGGTTCACTGAATGGTATCGGTTATATGCTCACTGGTAGAATATCTCTTCGAAAAACAGCTGCTCATTGAAAATATGTTGGCAATGGAATTGAAACGCGGTTTTGGTGTATCCCTTTCAGGTACATTCAGTCTCGATGAGCCAAGTGATGTCCGAGGATGCATACATCTTATTTTACATGAGGTAGACACCTATTATTTCACAGCGTACTTTAGAAATACCGTATTCCTTTCCCGGTTTTATCCCTTCCCTCTGTTTTATTTGTTTTCCGATCCTATGTAAACAGTTGGTTTGTTGAAATACTAAGATTGGTTGTCAGTTTACTTTTATATAATACTTTTTTATGCTTCTTTGTTGTATGAATGTTACTTTTGGTTTCCATATCGATGTTCTCTTCTAGCTCTGAAAGTATGTAAATCTTTCAAGGTCATACCCTCGCCCTCAAAGAGCAGTTACTGAAAAGATCAAGCAAGTTCCTGCTAGGCACTTCGCTTCGAAAATGGAGAAGCCGTCACGACCAGCACAAAGCAAATCGAGTAGCCACTCTGTTGGCCACAAGCTTTACCCAGATTCCAGGCCTGAAACTGCTACAGGCTGTATCAATCGCAACTCTAATGGCATTCTCAGTCAGAATGCAAATAGTAACATTCATCGAGTGGTAGAGATGTATGCTGGGACAACCAATTTGGAGTTCTCTGATGCTACGTCAAGCGATTGGTCCCTTTTCACGAGCTCAGACGAGGCTTCTTTTACGACAGATAGTGCTCGAGACTCTTTCAGTACTGTTGACTATGCCGATGCAAGCAATGGAGATCCATTCTCAATCTTCAACAACTTATACACTCCAGAATCATCCTCTTGCAACACAGTTTCGTGCAGAATGTTTTCAACTAGTAGACCCCATACGGGGTACGTCTTAGAGGAGAAGTGCTATGTTCTGGATTCCCACTCGGCCCAACTAACGAACCGAGATCAAGAGAACTTCAAACAGGTCTGTGATTCTTTGACAGATTTTTCTTTAGATACTGACCACGGTATGTTTGTAAAACACGGGAGTAACCCGAAAAGTACTTTTGATAGAACTTATGCACATTGTGAATGGTAGTTCATGGAATATCCAACTGATTAAAATAGTGACTTAGCCAAGTTAAAGGTGTTGCCTCCATTTTTTGTTTTTCAATGGCTTTGTATATTGAGGCTTGTAAGATCAAATGAAAGGATTATTTCATATTTTCTGAAAATGTGGTTTTTTTGAATATTCTAATCTCAGTCTGCAGGCACTAAGGGGACACAGTCCATACATATAAATGTAATATATTTCAAGGTTTTGGTTTACTGCAACTTACAGATAAAGGTTTTCTCAAACCACATCAGATGAAGATTTTGCAGATGCAGTAACCCTTCAATTTTCATTTTCTTCTTCCATTGGACTCGACTGTATTAGACACGACCCAAGCGAAACAAAAACACGATGCTTAAAAGACGGCACACAACTAGACCCGAGCTTAAAGTTTTGGAAGGTGATAATCATAACAAGGAGAAAGACTGAATTATCAAAAGACCATTTATTTTTACATGCTACATGTTATGTACAGATCCTCATGATCTCATACAAAGTTCAGAGACTTATAACATACATAGTGTTTTTCAGTATATTAACTTAATGTTCTAGGAAGCTAGCTTAGTTAAGCTTAAACTGGCAAGAACTCATCTTCCAAATCAAACAACATCCAAATCTCATTCACCCTGCCACTGAATTCAAAAGGAGAGTTGGACTGAGCAACCGTATAAACTGAGGTTAGCTGGTTTGGGGGTATCGTGAGTCTTGTGTCAATAAAGTAATATTAATAACTGAGGTTATTAATTAATAAATTGAATTTTGCCGAGCAAAATAATAATAATAATAATATATAAAATTCCCTTTAAAAAATCTTATATAACAAATAAATACTTAAAATATCTATTTTTTTCATTTAAGTCTTAAAGTATTTTTTAGTGAAAATAAATACTTAAAGTTATCTTTTTGGTCAAAAGAGGTACCTAAACTATTCAAACCTTTTCATCTAAGTTCTAAAAAAGTTGACAAGTGACATTAATTAAAGAATACTTTAGATACTTAGATAAAAAAAATTGAATACTTTAGATACTTAGATAAAAAAATTTAAATACTTTAGGTACTTATTTTGATCAAAAAATACTTTAGGTACCTATTTTTATCAAAAAGATAAATTTAGATATTTGTTTTGATCAAAAATTCTTTAGATACTTGAATGAAAAAAATAATATACTTTAAGTACTTATTTGTTATATAAGCCTTAAAAATATGTATATTAAGTTATTAAATTTGATTGTCCAAGAAACGTATATATTATTCTGAATTTTGAAAACCAATATCCATTATTTTGTATTATTATTTTATTTCTAAATGAATAAAAATTTATTTTTTGTCATTTTTTTATTTCAAGATACAACAAATTTTGTGTTTTTCATGTTTGGTTATTCATCTTCTTTGAGCATTCACCTTCTTTGAGTTGAACATTCAAATAAAGTTATAAAGTATTCAACTTTTAAATATATACACATTTTTTAAAATGATTCCCTCTATAAATAATGTTGAGTTCCGTCACCGGAGTCAATTCTCTCATGACCTCATGTTCATTACCAGCAACTTGAATCCCTAACTTTTTACCCAAGCTTAGGGTCTTCTCCGCCTCCATAGTCGTTGGCAGCCACCTATCCTTAAGGTCAGAATCTGAAAGAGATCTATCCGAGTTTCGACAATTCTAAATCTTGTTTCTTCACTTTATTATTATTATTATTATTATTATTATATTATTATTATTATTATTATTATTATTTTATATTGGGGGTGGGGGCATGGCCCCCTCTAGTCCATGAAGCGTTCCGCCACTGGTTAGAAGATGATTATGCGTATAAGATAGACTTTTTCACTAAATGCAATCTCCTTTCTTACAAAGGAGACATTCTGAAATACATGTCTGGATTAGATTTGTCAAGTAACAATCTGACAGGCTTCATTCCTCAGAGTCTTGGGAAGGTGACATCTCTTCATGCACTAAGCCAATAAGTAATCTATCAATTTATTATCCATTTAAGATTTCATGCACTAAATTGATAGATTTTATGAAATTTCATATGCTTATTTAGATTTCATAAGCAATTGTTTTGTTACAGACATCTTAAAACCAGTTATTGTTATGCACCAAAGTGTTGGTTGAATAATAAAATCTTATGGGCCAATGCATTTGCCGCTTAATCTAGTTTGGTTTGATGGCCCTTTTCCTTGTCAACATCCAACATAAACACGTGACAGAAGCTCATTTATGCAACCACTTGTTTTTTTAAGGATTGACTTTTGTCCTTATAGTAGGATAAATTATTTGATATACTTAGCTCACCATGTCATTCATAGTCCCGGTAAATTACTGTTATAAATTTTAAAATAACTTCTAAATAACTACATATTTCTTATTTACATATAGGAAAGAGGTAAAGACTCACCTTGAAAAAATGAGATGGATAAGTATTATTGGTTGGGACCACGGATGACGTGGTGAGTCAGGAGGTCCATCTAATAATTTTCATGGTGTTGGCTTCCATTGCTGATTCCTGTCTTTTATGTCTTTGGTCATACCCCACAAAGGCTAGATCTTGCCTACCAACAAAATCTCCATTTCTTGGACAAGATAATACACCCTTGCTATTATATTCTCTTATCTTTTCACTATTTGATTAATTGCATGTTTCCACTTGGTTTAAGTTGATGATATTTATTGGCAATGGTGCTTAAAATGTCCATTTCATATAAGATATTGTCAGGTCCCTGTATGGTTGAGTCAGATACAACCAATGCTGTGCATATTGCCTGCCTGTAAAGAAGTTTGTCGCTACACAAAGTGGGTGATCTCCCCTATTATTTTAGCTTCGGTTGAGCCCATGTGCGCACTTTCCATGGGGTCTCACAAGTACAATGACTTGTGCTATAAAAAGGGTTAGCTTCTTCCTTTGATGGACTCATCCCACACATTTTCTTTCAACTCTAAGCTATCTCATCATCTTTCATTGTCATTCTACTCAAATCATGGCTCTCGTGTTGAAGGAGAAACCCGGGATGATCGACGGAAGTAACACGATGGAAGAACCCGAAACCCCGGAAGTCGACGCCGATCTTCTGATGTCGTTGTTAGAGGAATCAGCGTGTGAGGAGTACTGCGACGAGGAGGAAGTGAATAGTTTGATGGAGTCTCTAGAAGCCGAGATCCGAATGGCGAGTGCCGGTCCTTGCGGTGTCGATACGGAAAGCAACTATGGGTTCGAATGGAGTGAAATGGAAATGGTGCCCTCGTCACCAAGCGATGACATGAATTGGTACGTTGAAGATCATGTGGAGGAGATGGCCATGGATGGTTACTTGGTTCAATTTGGGAGTGATTTGTCAACCTCTAATGATTTATTTGTAAATCTATAAAAATAAGCAAAAATAATATTAAAAATGTAAATCAAACGCATTTACGATTTGTAAATCTTCATCTTATAATATAAAAAATGTACCAGCATATTAATCTTAACCAAACAGCAACAATGTGATCAGCTGTATATTATTTAAGTAATATAAAATAAAACGACACCCCAAAGTGATGTTTAGTGACTTACCCTACATTAGATCGTAATCCAAATTGATTAAGATTAATATTAATTTCAAACTAATGGAGTAGCTGAATTGATTTCTTTTATATTATATAAAATCTTCACATAAAGGAAGAATCAGAGCACATGGGTACTGTTCCATTTGATTGTCACTTAACCTAAACCAGTGGTTCAACTTCATTTGACCTAATCTGGCCATGCCACTTGAATACTTGATGTTCATTAGGTCAAATGCAACCAATGCTGGATATTGCCTGCTTTGAAAGTTATGGCTCTTTCATGTTGGAGGAGAAACCAAAAACACTGCAAATTAGGGCTCTTGTGTCAAAGGAGAAACCGGGGTTGATCGACGGAAGTAATTTGATCGAAGAAGTCGACGCCCCGAAACTGATCTTCTCATGTCGTTATTAGAGGAATCACTGTGCGAGTATTGCAATGAGGAACAAGTAAACAATTTGAAAGAAATCTTTTTATTTGTCTAACCTATAATACTCATAGTCTTAGTACGTTAACCTACTGACTGATATATGATAAAATCTGATCTTATAATGACATACGACTATCATGTCTCGGTCAGTAGGTTAATGTACAACTTAAACAACCGTTAATTTTTTAACGGAAAATGACGAGTTTGGAACTTGAATAGTCGGGAGACCATTTTGTAACTTCTAATAGTTGAGAGATTAAAAAAAGTAACTCCCTATAGTTAGGGGATCACTTTATAACTTTTAATAATCGAGGGACTCAACAAAGTAAATCTCTATAGTCGGGGGACTATTTTTGTACTTTACCCTTTACATTTCTCTTCTTCAACTTTCTTATCATTTAGATTTTCTTAAAAGTAAAAAACTTCAACGTGGATCAATCAAAGGAGTCACTTAACCCAACATTTCCACTTATCATTGAATCAGAGCACATGGGTATAGTTCCACTCATTGTCACTTAACCTAAAAGTGTGGTTCGACTTCATTTTTATTTGTGGTGCTAACACGTGCACCGAATTGGTTGAATAAATAATAAATCATGGGCCAATGTATCGTTGCATAACCTGTTCCATTTCTTCCTCAACACCCAACACGACCATGTGACAAAAACTCACTTATTTTCATGCATTATTCAAGGGTCTACGAACTTGGCAATGAATCTCGTCAATGGTGGGTTATGGTGTACAATGTCTGCTACAATATTTTAAGGTATCGCCCTTGCTGTTTCCTCCGTCGTTTATGCCTTTGGTCCACACTCCACAAAGCCTATCTTGAAAATCTTTCTTTCATGAACAAAATAATACAGTATTGTCTATTCACTTCTGTCATTTTTGGGTTGATTTGTATGTTTGATGTGCTTTGTTTTCTTAAAAAAATAATTTGCATGGAACATTTATATGAAGGGTAAGTGACGAATTTCATTACTCAACTTTCTTCTCACACCTATTTTAATTATTAAAGTTTGAATATTTTTTAATTTACTCATTATTGGACTTTGAATTTGCTCCTCTTAAAGGCATTATGAATGCACATTTTTCTTTTAAAATTATGAAATTATCCCATAAATTTCTTTCATTTCTTGTGAAAAACCACTACTTTCGAATTCTCTTTGATATCTCGATGATGAAGCATCTTCTTTCAAATCCCAACGGTTGGGAGTTGGAAAAGAAGAAAACAAGTTGTCTATCTTGACTTCACGTTGATATGGCGGTGGATATTATAAATAAGAGTGGTTTAGGGTTTCATGAGTTTTGGATTTACAGTTGAGCTTTATGAGTTTTAAAGTGATTTAAGTAAAATATAAATTGATAGAGTGGTAGGAGACAATGAGACGAATTTGTAGATATCTTGAGTGGTTGGAGAAGACACTAAAAATTGGTAATTGCAGTGTCAGCGTAACACATAAATGAAATTATAAAACTTTCATCTTTAAAGAAAAAAGATAAAATGAAAAAAAGAAAGAAAAAAAGAAAAATGACGTGAATGACACATGAATCTCATGATTCTATGTCAGTAAAAGGTAGTTTACATCAACATATATGGTTGCCATGTCTCTCTTTCATTTATGTTCTAACAATCAAGTGAACAAAATAGGAGTAAATGAAAAAATAATGAGTAAATTAAATTTTTTAAAACATTAGTAACTAAAATAAAAGTGAGAAGAAATTTAATGATGAAATTTATAATTTACCCTTATATGAATTATGTCACGTAATTTAATAAGAAAATAACAAGCTGTTTAATTATTTGAGTATTTTGGTACCAATGGGTTGGTTCAAGTTGTATGCCGCTTGAGATCGTTTAAGCTTATCTTGAGTTTGAGTCCTTATATATACAAAAATCTATGTTGAAAAATTCACCTATCAAAATCAGGTGTGTGAAACAGGTCGATTCGGATTAATCAGAGCAAAGCTTTGGAATCGAGAGGACAACAAAAAAATTATTCGAAGACTACAAATAACCTAAGTGGAGCAACAACTCCAATCTACAGAAGTTGGCAATGGTACTTAATGTTCATTTGATGTAGATATTGTCCACTCTCTGTTCCATTTATGTCAAATGCAGCCAATGCTGGATATTGCCTGAAAGTGGGTGACTTCTCTATTCCTAACTAAATTGGAACCCTTCACTTAAGATATACTTTCAATTCATGTGGTAGCGATTAATTAGCCTAACTTTGATTTGTCACCATTTCTAAAATAATATCACCATGTTCGTTCGTTGTTCCATCTTTGTCTAGCACAACCATTCATTTTTTAAACAATTATTATTTGTTTTTGTCCAATTGATTGTCTATTTAATTACTGGACGACCACATGAACGCTCAACAAGTAACAATTACCTGGCCTATAAAAAGGCTATAGCTTCCACTGATTGAACCATTCCAAGTCTAGCTTATCTTAGGGTTTCTCATTTTTGTTGTTCAACACAAAAAAGAAAGGGGGGAAACATGACTCTCTTGCTGATGGAGAAACCAGGGTTGATCGACGGAAGCAATGCAATGGAAGAAGTCGACGTCCCCGAAATCGACGTCGATCTTCTAATGTCGTTATTAGAGGAATCGCAGTACGAAGAGTATTGCAACGAGGAGCAAGTCAACAGTTTGATGGAACCTCTAGAAGCAGAGATTCAAATGGCAAACCATGGTTCATGCAGTCCCGAAGGAGACGTCAAACCAAACAGTGGCTCCGAATGGGCGGAAATGGAAACGGCGCCTTTGATGCCGAGCGATGACATGAACTGGTGTGTGGAGGATCACTTTGAGGAGATGTCAGTGGATGAGTTGGTTCAATTTGGAAATGATTTCGCTTTGAATTGTTATGAATTTCCGTTAGAAAACGGCCATGCATCTACGTGGCAAGAGGGTTTTTTAATGCTAACTCTAATTAAAATTATTAACTATAAAATAAGGACTATTCATTAGAGTGGTTACTGGTTGGTTAGACATGCTCTTTGGCGGCTCAAGCTTGGTGGGGTTAGGTTTTTAAAGGACTTAAATTTACTTGTAAAGAGGGGAAACGGGGATGGTGTGTTTCAACTTACTTTACAACTAGTAGGTTTATTTTGATAAAATAATATATTATATAGTCAAAAGTTATCATAATTTCCTGAACTTTTTTTAAAAAAAATCGGTCCTCCAGCTCAGAAAATGAGTCCAATGTGACCCTTTAATCAATATTTTTTGTCATTAACTATTACGGTACTAACGTGATAATTTATGGTGTTGACATGATGATTTATGATGTTGATGTGACAGTCCATGGTAGTTGATAACGTTATAGATAACATGACGTATGAACTAAATTGGTAACTCAAACATGACAGATGAATTATCACGTCAGTGTAGTGAATTATCACATCAACGATGTGAACTATCACGTCGGTACCGTAACAATTAAACAACGAAAAACGTTAATCAAAGGGTCACGTTAACTTTATTTTCTAAAACATTAAACTGTAAAAAGATACTTAAAACTAACTATATGTAATTTAAACACCTTTTTTGATTAAATCTTTTTTTTATGCATTTCGTTTTCTTCATTCAATTCGTTTTGGACTGTTCGGTTTGGATTATTTGTCGGTAGCGCGTATTACGTAACCCTTATTCATGCAAAAGTGTCTTTTTCGTAAATAACAAACCAGCAATAAGGTAAAATGTCAATTTTCTAACAGGACCCAACTGCGGCGTCGGCAAACTAAAATCCTCTACGGTAAGGAACAGCATGCTGTCCTGGTTTTCCCAATACTTTTGTCACACGGAAGCATCCCATTTGTTCAATGTTTTGGAGTTTTTCATTCTTTTAATATATGCCCGATGCCCTCTTCTCTTGAATATTTTATATTTCACCGTAAAAAATAACATAGATGGCACATGATCCCTAAGCATTATCATGATTAAAGAATAATAATGATTTAAATATTTTTTTTATTAATGAGAACAAGTTTAATTTATTGACGGTTAATTATTCATTTAAATTGATCACATCTGCGTGACGAGTTCCGAAAAAATACTTTTTATTCAAATTCTTCACATTTTCATGATGAGTTTCGAAAAAGTATAATTTTTTATTAAAATATGTCACATCCAAATAATAAGTTTCAAGAAAAAAATATTTTATAAGAACTCACCATACCTATATGACGAATAAATGTTTATATTACTAATTAATTTTTTAATTATGACGACTTCCAAAACATTATAGTAAATGTCTATATTACTAATTAATTTTTTAATTACCTTAAAAACCTAAATAATTATTACACAAACATTAAAGGCTTGATTTTGCCTATCTCAATGAATTTAATCTATGGATGAAATCTAATTTAATCTGAATAAATAATGTTGATATTTTCTTCAAAATAAGATTATATTTAATAAGATATTTTTTAAAAATCTAAATAATTTTAAGTTTTATTCAATTTGATCCTAATATTTATGATGTAATTGATAAAAACATATGTAAATAATTGAGATCTTATATATTAGAATAATTATATAGATTAAGATATACTCTGATTTTATATTATTTGACTAAATTAATATTTTACTCAATTTTTTTTTTTGAAAAATTAAATTAAATTTTAAAAATTCTAAATTATATTTAAATTCAAATTGAATTATAATCAAATTATACTACATCTCATCATCAAACGGACAAAAATCCACCTTATTGTCGTCACTAATTCAATCCAACCGTCCATTCCAATATAATTAAGAGAAAATAACCTCAGTGACCAAAAATCCCATATAATATACGATTTTAACCAACTTTTTCCGGATTTGCCAAAATGACCAACAAAATCGCAATGTGATTGCTAATTCGCAACGCGATCTCCATTATCGCAAATCAGTTTCCAGATTCGCAACGCGATTATGACTATCGCAATGCGATTTTCCAATTTCGCGTTGTGATTTTCCCAATTCGCAATGCGAATAAGTAAATCGCAATGTGAATTTGGAAAATCGCAACGCGATAATACAAAATCGCAACGCGATACTGACTTTCGCAACGCGATAATACATAATCGCAATGTGATTTTCAAAGCGCCATTAGTATCGCAACGCGTATTTTATTTTCAAATTCCAAACACGAATATTAATATATTGGAACACTGAACAGTCCACAGTATATCCCGTAATCGCAACTCATAACCTAAAACCTAAAATCACAACTCAGTCCCATCTCCATCTCTCACTCTCTACGCGACATCCGTCCCCATCTCCAACGAAATCCGTCCCATCCCTTGCAAAATCCGTCTATCTCCATCTCTCAGAGCCACCCTCACAATCAGAAATGGAAAATCAACCAAATCAACCACCGAGGGTTAGTTTTTTTAATTAGTTTCATTTTGAAATTTTTGCATTATTATTAGGTTTTTCATATTGAAATTGATGATAAGTTTACTGGTAATTTCAATAATAGATTAACCATTTCACTTAGATTGCTTATTAAATTCATTCGATTGCTACCAATACTGCTAAACTGTTTAGTCTTTAACCCTGTGAAGTTAGTATTTGTCTTTGTTTTGTCTTTTGTTGAAGTAATGCAATTCATTCAAGTTTCAATTTTAGACAATGACTATTTGAAACCGAGAATCGCAACGCGAAATGAAAATCGCAACGCGATTTTAGTTTCGCGTTGCGATTCTCTCGTTGCGATAGTCAAATTCGCGTTGCGATAGTCATTTTCGTGTTGCGATTTTCATTTTCGTGTTGCGATTTTAAGTTTCAAAAACTATTCTTCTTCTGCAAATTGAAACTTGAATGAATTGCATTACTTCAACCAAAAAACAAAGACAAATACGAAATTCACAGTGTTGCAAATTTAAGTTTGAAGAATAAACTACTACTCTTTATGTTTATTATTGTTTTTGGTATATCTTCACAGTGTAGTTTTTGGTATATCTAACTTAGTATGTTTATTGTTTTTGTAGAACTTTTATTCGGCTCAATTGACCTTAAGAAATAAAGTAAGCCTGGCCAAAACAATTGCGTCGAAGCTTTCACCTGCACAAAGAAAAATGTTTGAGGATACTTGCTTCGGGCCATGGCTAAAAGTACAACATCCCGGTGGAGATGCGATGTTGACACACCTGTTTCTTCAAACCATGACTAGCGATCTACCAGAGACTATACAACGTCGTGATGAAGAGATATGGTTTGATTTTCCACCGGCGTATATGTGTTTTGGGAGGGAGGAGTTTTGCTTAATCACTGGTCTACGCTTCAGACACGATGATGTAGGTCGGTACACTAGACATATTACCCGTCCATCATGGTTATCCCGGGTTTTTCCTGAGCTGGAGAGGCCGAATCTACACGTGGAAGACTTGACGAGATTATTGAATAAGAAAGATGGTTTTACTCGGATGGATGACGTCGATGTTGTCCGAGTATGCCTTCTAATACTTTTGCATGCCGGCTTTTTAGGCAGAGAGGCCAGACAACCTATTCCGAATGATCTAATTAAATTGGTAGAGGACCTAAATGCATGGAACCTATTTCCGTGGGGTTCGTATTTATGGAAAGCTACATGGAATAAGTTATCGTTTGCCTTGGATGATCGAAAAAGTTTGCATGGCGATGGTTCCAAATACACTTTGACAGACTTTATTTGGGCCTTTAAGGTAAGAATTTTTATATAATGTTTCCAAAATTATAATTAATTATTTAACAATTACTAATGTTTGTTATTATATTGTTTGTAGATTTGGATATTTGAGGCCTTTCCCGCCATGCAGACATATGCAATAAAAACTTCAAATGATATTCCCAGGGCTATTTCCTGGAAGAGGAAACGGACCTTGCAATGGGAAGATTTACTACGGTATACGACAATAAATAATGTAAGTTAACATAAATACTACCATATGTTTATAAAAAAGTTATTACTAGTACACGTTTAACTTTGTTTGAGCTTTTATATTGTTAGGAGGCCAACACTCCATTACAGAGACTGACACCCACGGAAGCTGAGCTTGCCACTGATTGGTGGCAAGCTAGTAAGCGTTTTTTTATGGCACGGATGATGAGCAGCCTCCACTTCGGGAGCCATCACCTCACCCAGAGCTATCACCTCACCCAGAGCCATCACCTGATCGACCCGACTATACACCTCCACAACGACAGCCATCACCTATTCTGTCACATCATCGAGCCTCTTCTCCACCATCACCTCAAGATAGGCGACCAGCAAAGATGCCACGACGTTTATCTCCCTGTTCTCCACCTCCACCTACACGGGATGAGTTAGGGAGTTACGTGATGAGGTCAATGCCTTACGTGAGGAGGTCGATACTTTACGCAAAGACGATGGTGCATGGCGTGTTGAGGTGTCTACTTTACGTGGTGGGGTAGCCGCTCTACGTGAGATGGTAGTATCGTTGCAGAATGAGGTTCATACTCTACGCAACGAGGTAAGTTTAAGATTTTTCATATTTAACTTGATGAAAAATTTACTCGTAATTTTACTTAGATTAACCATTTCACTTAGATTGCTTAGTAAATTCATTCGGTTGTTGGCAATACTGCTAAACTGTTTATTCTTTAACTCTGTGAAGTTAGTATTTGTTTTTGGTTTTGTCTTTTGGTTGAAGTAATGGAATCCATTCAAGTTTCAATTTGCAGAAGAAGAATAGTTTACTTTCGCAACACGAAACTTAAAATCGCAACGCGAAAATGACTATCGCAACGCGGAAATGGCTATCGCAATGCGAAATGAAAATCGCAACGACAAAATCGCAATGCGAAATGAAAATCGCAACGTGAAAATGAAAATTGCAATGCGATTTGTGTTTTGCGTTGCGATTTTGTCGTTGCGATTTTCATTTTGCATTGCGATAGCCATTTCCGCGTTGCGATAGTCATTTTTGCGTTGCGATTTTAAGTTTCGTGTTGCGAAAGTAAACTATTCTTCTTCTGGAATGTTTATATATGTTGTCATTTTAAATGTTTATATAAGTGCTTACTTCTGGAATGTTATCTGATGCATTTTGTGAACTATGATAGAATAATGACTTGGGT